GGCTCATTTGGGGGCTGTCTGTGGCCAGGCTGCTGGGCTCCATTGTGGGGAAGGTAGATGAGCTGGTCTCAACTCTGCTATCGGCAGAGGTCAAGGACATTTTGTCCACACCTAAGGCACAGTTTCCCAGTGTTCCTCAAGTTCCACGTCACTTCTAGGGCTGCAAAATAAAACACAAGGTGCCCAGTTAAATCTGAATTTCAGATAATGTTTTAGTATGAGAATACCCCACTCGATAGTTGAGATTAAATATATTCCGAAACTGTATTGATTGTTCACCTGCAATTCGAATGTGACTGGATGTCCTGTATTTCTATCTGCTAAATCTGCTAAATCTGACAGCCCTACTTCCCACCACATGGAAGTGGCTTCCCTCTAATGCTGAAGCCACTGACATCCTAAAAAAACCCACCTGGCTGAGGCTGCTGTGCCACCTTGACGTGCTTCCTGAAATCCGGGCTGCACAAGCAGGAAGCAGCAGGGGACGGCCAAAGCTGCGTGGTGGCTTTGCTGGAGTCAGTCCTCTCAGCCGTAAGGAACTCACCCAGGTTTCACCAGAGTTTCCAGGCAGTTACTGTGCGGGGGCCCAGTCTCTCCCCCATGCTCAGACACAAGTTCACGAGAGCGAGGCCAGATGAGAAACCTGAGAAACAGCAACTACCACATAATCCGAGCAGCCTCCGCTCTACCCCACCGAGGGGCGGGGATCGCCACACGCTGGGCCTCGCCAGGGTACCTATCTTTCCCCAAGAGGCTCTTGGCTCTCCTAGACAAACAGGCTCCAGGTGGTCGGCCCCTCTAGTCCCCCTGCCACAGACTACACGTGACAGGACATGGGGCACATCCGGGCAGCCCATCCCATCTCTGGTTCAGTTTCCCATATCTGAGTCTCCATTAGTTGGAAAATATGAGTGAATTTGCCGATTAGGAATAGGGTCATGCAGAAGGGTTGACTAATGAGACCTTCTTCCCCAGCAGAGAGAGAAGAAAAGTTGGAGGGACAGGAAGGAGGAGTCCATGTGAATAGATAACAGTGGTTTCCATAACTGGGGACACGGTTTGGCAGCCATGGCACAGATTTACGAGATCCTAAAAACTCAGACCTGAGGAACTGGATTGGGGTGGGCGGGGTGAAAAGAAGGGGAGAATTTTATGCGTTCTAAGATCCTCTCCTGTCTGAACGTGTTAGTATTATTTTCCCAGGGAAGGCGGCACCTCAGAACACAGAGGGTTCACTCGCCTTTTTCTCTGAGGCCTGCCCACTATTCCTCTGACAGGATTCATTTCCAAATACAAGAGGCGGCTTTCGTAGTGAAGCTGCTAAGCAGCTCAGAAGAGCGCGACGGCTGCTGCTGCCTTAGAATCAACAGGATCCTGGATCCTCCTCTCAGGATCCACGTTTTACCAAACATGTATGCAAATACCCCCCGGCTGCTCCTCCCCATACGCTGCCATCTCTGTGGAGTCCTCCCGCTCCGGCCCCTCCCCCAGAATGCCTTTCCCACTCAACCCCTGCCTCCTCTCCCCTCGTTGCCTCCTCTCCCCTCGTTGCTTCTTCTCAACCCCATTTTTTCCGCCGGAAATGAATGCCTGGCTGGCCTCAGACATGCGCCGCCACCGAGGGGAACCTATCCTACATGGACGTTCGAAAACTGCCAGGTCATGTTTGGGCATTTCACTGAAAGCCTGCTCTAAAAGGATCTATGGATGGTCAGTGCAGAGGAGGGATTGCTGGGTCTAGATAGCTCTACGCTTAACTTCTTAAGGAACCTCCATATTGTTCTCCATTGTCGTTGTAGTGATTTACGTTCCCACCGACAGTGCCTACCTTGCCCTTTTCTCCGCGTCCTCACCAGCACTTGTTATTTCTCGTCTTTTTGTTAAAGGCCATTCTAACAAGTGGTTAACAGAGAGGAAAGGAGGTGGAGGGAGGGAAAGTGGGTAATGGGAGTCAAATATATGGTCACAGAACAAAATTAGACTTTGGGTGGTAAGTATGCAATCGAGTATACAGATGTCAAATTATAATGTACACCTGAAAATTGTATAGTGTTATTAACCAATGTTACCCCAATAAATTTAATTTCAAAAGAAAGAAGGGGCAGCACAAAAAAGTGAACAGCTAGCTTCGCTGCTGTGGCAGTAAAAGGAACGTTACTTGATTGGGGAAAACTCGATGTGGAAAAAAAGGCTAGATGAAAGTCCTGTTTCCTTTTATTTATTTATTTGTTTGTTTTTTGTTTGTTTAATTGGTTGAGAACCTCTAGAAGAGAACTGGGGACAACGGTTGACTGGCTCTGACCAGAACGCTGAATCCCAATGATTTTCCTGGTTTAAGTCAGGCTCTAGGGAGACAGCAATCTTTTTGCTGCTACAGCACCTCAGAAACATTAAAACAGCGCAGGTTCACTGAATGCGTATTTTAGGTCAAGGTTAATGGGAGACAGAGAGAGACAAAGATGAAAAAGACACAGATCATGTCCTCCGGGAGTTCACAAGCAAATGAGACAACCAGGCATGTAAACGTGGACAGACAGTGGATCAATGTTTGTTATATGATATGATCAAAGTGTGGTGCCCCTGGGTTCTCGAGACCCTCTTGGGGACTTGAAAGGTCAAAACTACTTTCATAGTCAGACACTATGAGCCTTTTCTTTCCCTCTCATTTTCTCATGAGTTTTCCCAAGGCTACAAGATGTGTGACAATACAAAGCATAACACATGGATGCTTATATATTCTTGAGTTTAAAAGAATTTCTCAGTCTTAAATTTTCATATATCAATAGCTAAAACCCACATAGGCAAAATTCTTTGAAATCCTCAATAACTTTTAAGATTGTAGAGGGATTCTGAGGCCAAAAATTTTCAGAACTGAGAAGACAATATATCATCTACCATTACATGGTGTCCTCATTTCTGGTTAATGCATTTTATTGACAAAAAATTATTTCATCTAATTCCATGAAAATGACTTCATTGAATGCTTTCACTATGTCCTTATTATCTAGCATGATAGTCATTAGGTCACCTAATTATTAATCTGTTTGTGTTTTTTGTAACGTGTCTGTGTTTAAACGTCTTTTGAGGCAACACAATGTTGGGCTTTACATTTTAATTCAGGCAACAATCAACAATAGTTGATGCATTGTTTTATGTTCTATCACCCTACTGTTTATCTTACTCATTGTTATTTTTGCTTTAAGTTTTCTGTAGTGCATTTTAAAATTTTTTCTTTTCTGTTAGACAATAAACTTCCCTAGTCTGTCCATCTTTCTATCATTCCAGCATCATTATATTTTAAAGCAATTTTTATTGTTTCCTATAATTTTGCTATTAATAGTATAGTATTAAGAAAATAAATCTTATTTTGGGTGGCAATCACACAATAGAATATATAGATGTCATATTATAATATACACCTGAAAAATATATAATTCTATTAACCAATGTTATGCCCAATAAACTTAAAAAAAATAAAAATGAAAAAAGAGCACCATGCTAAGGTTCGTCTTGATTGCCTTTCTCAAAAAAAAGAAAAAAAAGAAAAGAAATCTTACATTTCCTTCCCTCTAGAGATGAAAATGAAGTCTAGTCTGTAACATATCATGGTAGCAAAAAGTTCCTTATAAAATTATGCAGATATCTTGCAGTCCTGACAGTGTATAATTCTCCCTGTAGAGAAAATTGAATTTTCTTTACATTTTTTTTTTCTATTTTATTCTCCCTGAACCTTGAGCTCTATCTAGCCCTTGACTATTCTCAAATCTCCATTGTTTTCTGGAAATGAACTTCACAGCTGTGGGCCTTTGTTGACAAATTATTTCATCTCCTCTGGGTCTTAAATTATTTTCCTTTACTCTGAAGTGAAAATTCAGTGAGTGTTTCGAGATACCGTCCTTGGGGTCCTAAGTCGATTTGTCTTAATCTTGTGTGCATCCCCCAACCCCCGTCCTCAACCAATATTCTCCTCCAAAGCTCCAGTACCCATTCGTATCATCACATTTAAATGGTTTTCTTGGCTCTGTCGGTAACTTGCAGAATTCTGCATCTGCTCTGTGATGGAGTAATTTTTTACAATTTGGTTAGTTGGTTTTAAGTTGGAAAACTTAACAATATCTTAACTTTTTTCTTCGAGGATTATGCCTTAATGAATTTGTGCTACAGAAATACAGTTATTTCTATAATTCTGCGATAAATTCTAATTTACTTGGGGTTTCTCTCCTGTGGTCCTTTTATTGTCATCAGATCAAATTTTAGCTGGATGTGGGCTTTTCAGGCCAGTTTTGCTTCGATGGTGCTGGTCCTTCTCCCTTCTGCACCAGGTCCCCTCTTCCTAGCATCTTTATCATGGTTCTTGTTCCGCTATAGCATTTACAAGACCCAATTTAATAGCTTCGTGCCTTTTTTCTTGGCACTCATTATTTCTTCTTTCTTTGCTGTTAAAGTAATAAGTGTACGTTCTGTTGCACTTGCCTGAGAGTCTTGAATCGGTCTTGGGTTTCTCCCCAGCCGGGTTCTGGCTGGCTTGCGTTTCCCTTTGATGTTATAACACATGTTTGCTGAACTTGAGTGTCGGGCTTTTCAAGCTTGTTTGCTTTTTCACTTTCCAAGATAGGCACAGTTTTTCTTAAGCTTATTTTTCTGTTTTGTGCTATTATTTTTAATTGCTTCTGAATAGGAGGTGGGGTTGAGAGTGAGATTTGGCCTGAATTTGGCTGTTTTTGCTATTACTCACATTTCCCCAGAAGCCCCACACACTTTCTCTCTGCTTCGACATACCACTTTTGAAAGCAATGACTCTTGGCATAAATGACGTAAAGGGGAAGATGGGTTCAGGGTAGGAATGTTTAGGAATCCAGTCCTGTACAATCTTGAGCTTGGCCATCTGGAAGTCTCTTCTTGCTCAATGAAATGGAGTAAACATTATCCATTATGAAATCTACCAAGCAGGCTGCCAGGACGAATGGGATCCCACTCAAAGCCAATCGCTGCTCTTACAAGGAAACCAGCTAGCACTGCCGAAAGCTACTCCAACCTCCCCCATCCCTGATGTCACAATTCGGAGGCTGCTGCTGGCCTAGGAGGTTGTAGAAAGTTCTGTAAGTCTTCTCTGTATGTCCTACAGGGCTCCTCAGGCAAGGTCATCTGATGGCTTTTGTGAAAAACTATCTGTTCCCTATTCTGGGGATCTTGGCCTACTACTACTATTCTGCAAGTGAGGAATTCAGACCAGGTAAGTCTAATTTTGAAGGAATAGATTTAAAAAAAAAAAAAAAAAAACAGGGGTGGCTAGAGAGTTTCTGAGGACCATGATGATTTCCTGATTCCTAAAGTTACTGAACAAGAGGGAACCTTGAGGTTGGACTATATTTCTATGTCCTTCAGTCACAGGCTACAGGTAATAGGGGTGAGGGGAAGAGTAACCATGTAGCAAAACGACTGCCAAATAGGCCACTCTGTGTTTGGCGCCCTTGATGGAAATTTCAGATCCCCTAACAAAAATGAAGGTGATTCCAAAATTCACAACTCAGCCAGATAAATGGGCTCTGTGGGGAGTCTGATAAGTGGGAAGCAAGCAAGTAGTGTGGAGCTGATGACTAAATAGAAGTGAGGGGAAGCCCCTGGAATCTCTATGACCACATGTGTTTTGAGGACTTTTTAAATTTTATTTCAATTGAGCAAAATTGGATGAGTCCAGAAATATCTGGAAAATTCCAGTGTTTTAGTTGAGTCCTCTTTCCATAGCGTTCTTTAGGAAGGGCAATAGGAAGGCTTAATTTTGAGCATCCAAACCAAACCCCCATTTCAGAGCATATTTGTGAAAGACTTGAACTGTTCCTTCACTGATTTATGCAGTTTGAGATAAGTTGATCTGGGCTCACAACCTTTAGCTGGTGAGATTAGGCTGTCTACATCCAGAGCAGGAGAAGGGATATTGCCACCAAGTTGGGTGTGCTCCTCACTTCCTTTTGGGGTTTCCCAGAGATGCTCCAAGGAAAGAAAGTGATTGTCACAGGGGCCAGCAAGGGGATCGGAAAAGAGATGGCCTATCATCTGGCGAAGATGGGAGCCCATGTGATGGTAACAGCAAGGTCAGAAGAAACTCTAAAGAAGGTGAGGATTCTGTGCCCACAGACGCATGTACCCTCACATGCCCAGATGTATTCTTATATATGTTCACATATACATGTCAACACACAGAGGCTGGCCCATCCAAACTCAGACGCTTACACACACATAAACACATGTACCTGCACGCATACCTACAGGCTTAAATACCCATAAAATACACATTTCAGTATTCATTCCCATGCACAAATACATAAATACAAAGTTCTTGGGCTATATATACTCATTGATATGCCTATTTACACACATTTACACATGTATGAAGTCACAGATATATAGATATGTGCTCAGGTAACAAAATTCCAGTACCTACTCATGAATTCATATTCTCATACCAATGCAGACTCTCAGACACATGCCCTCACATAGACTCACAAACCCAAGGATAAATGAACATTCACAAACCTAGGGCTACCCTCAGAGAAACTAGCATCATTCAGAACCATCTATTCACAGAAACTCATAAACACAGATCATGGGCTTGAACCCCACCACAGTGATGATTTACCCATTTATACCCTACGTGAAATACTTCCAGAAAGTATTTCATAACGAAGACAAAGATTATGTCAGATTGCATTTAGCAACACACACACACACACACACACACACACACACACACACACACTCTCAGTGCACCACTCACACTCACACAAACCTGCTACCATTTCTTATCAAAACAGTGCTGTAAGCAACCTCCCGTTTAAACCCCCATTACTTCAGACACTGTCCCCCAAAGGTCTGCAGCCAATACTGACACCATTATTGTCATGATCCCACAGGTGGTATCTCACTGCCTAGAACTTGGAGCAGCCTCAGCACACTACCTTGCTGGCACCATGGAGAACATGACCTTTGCAGAACAATTTGTTGCCAAAACTGGACAGCTCATGGGTGAGGCTGCTTCTCCTCTCTCCCCTCTGGACCTTGCTCTAGGGGTCCCCAGGGAGCTTCGAGAAGGTAGAGGGGGATGAGAGAGGGAAGGTATCAACCCCACATAGTATCCCTCAACACAGCCATTTCTTGCAGGAGGACTAGACATGCTCATTCTCAACCACATCACCTACGTTCCTCTGCAACTCTTTCGTGATGATGTCCGTCTCGTGCGTGACAGCATGGAGGTCAACTTCCTCAGTTACGTGGTCTTGAGTGTGGCTGCCCTGCCCATGCTGAAGCAGAGCAACGGCAGCATCGTCGTCGTCTCCTCGGTGGCTGGTGAGTGGGGCAGAGGGCCACGCGGAAGGTAGGAGCAGGAGAAGCGCCAGGGACAGTGTTAGGGGCTCTGTGGCACACGTGAATTCTTTTTCTTTTTATCAGTTTCATGAAGAGAAGTGACACGATATAAACTGGAAGTTGAAATGCTCACGGTGATATTAAACAAAAGCTGATTAACAGCTTGCCCGTATGCGTGGACAGGCAGACATAGGAGTACGGGACTTGGACGTGTAAACTCGATGAGGAGCATGCTGAGTAAAAGACATGCTGTTGAGAACAAGCGGATTCATACAAAATAAAGGATTGTTTGAGGTAGATGGGCTACAAGCTCGCTGGAAGGAACACAGAGAGAGCAGAAGTTTAGAGTGCTCACCAGAAGCCGGGTGCTCTGTGACCTATGAGTGGAAGTCCAAAGGGACATTGAGAAACTGCTGGAGGTACAACCTGTCCCGATACTAAGGGAGAGACCTGATTGTGATGATAAAAAGGATTTTGCTTTCTTCTTAAATACCAAGAGCTGTAGGTTGGTGACATTACTTGATGCAAAGGTAGAACTGAGAAGTAAAATATTTTAACAACATACAGTTGACCGATCAGTAGTTAAGCTAGGGCAAAATGAAATAAACCACAAAAACAAACACACCATGTGATTAACAGAACTGCTTATACTGGGATTTTCTCCCAAATTTGAACTGCTACATTAAAAGTGCAATTTAAACAACCAATGGGATAGGGAGACAGTGTGTACAGAGAAATATTCATGAAGAAAATTCCGTGTGATCATGAGAAGTCCCTGATGCTTTGGATGGTGGCAGCATCAGAAGTTATCAGCAATAAAAAGCCTGGCAGTTTCCAGCTTGGGAGATTCCTAGCCCCATTTCCTCATGGGTCCTAGAGAGAAGTTCCACACATACTTGTTGAAGGATGTGACTAGAGGTGCAAACACCAGTATCAAAGTCAGTCATCTCAATGCCTTTCCTGGCAATGGAAAAACAAATAACCCAGAGGACTTTGTAAATTCCTTTAAGTACGTCACAAATGTTAGTTAAAACCATAACTAAAAACACCACCTATTTTGCAAAGAGTTCTACTTCCTGGACCAGGAAAGCCTGCATAGTGCGGGATAAAAGGGCAGCCTGTCTGTGCTAGTGGCCAAAAGGAGTGATTGATATGCATCCCTGTGCTTCCCAGACATCACAGACTCACACCCTTCCCCAGACACAGCCTCTCTCTGGGCTGAAAGGAAGAGAGAGCTTCCAGATGCATACTGAGTGGGAGAATGCGGGGCACATCCCCAGTTCACCCTAGGGAAATGGCCAAAACACTTACATCAGTTGATTAAATAATACGTCCGCTCTAGGCAAAGGTGTGCTTCATCTTTGGCTAGAGAATTTCACTTTCTGTAATGTACACCCAGTGTCAGTGCTCTCACTCTCCAAAGGAATAGGAATTACTGTAAACGTCCAAGAGCGTGATGAAATTCTGATAACCTCTGTTTCCATACATCTTCTATACCTACCGAATGTCACTTTGTAATTTCTGTGGACTCTGGGAAGTGGAAACTATCCTTCATGTCTATTGTTTACAGAGGCAAAAGAATTCAGCCTGTTTGCTTTGAAGTGTGTCTGTGAACTTCCAAAGTACAGATGACTTTGCTTTTTCTCCCTAACTGAAGAATTTCTTTGTTCTAAGTTATGATCTTTTAAACAGTCAGCAAACACGTTCATTAATCCTTCCTCCTTGAAATCTAAATTCCACAAACATGGCATGCTAAACCTCAGATTGAGGTCAGCCAGAGAGTATTGGGATAGATTTTTAATCATTTCTTCCAGGGAATCCATTAAGTTGTTTATTGAATTACAGTGATAAGCAGTTGTTTTTGTCCCCAATGCATTTCCAGGTATTACATTACATGGAAATCCTATACTTTTAATATGTTCTTTAAAGCCTCAGCCACTTCTTTAGCATCAACAGAGACAGTACTGCTGCCTCTGGGGACTTCCTTATAGTCCGTATCCATCCACCATTCAACACCGTTTTTGTCACCTACCAATCAAGCTTCTATGTACATATAATATTAATTAGCCTCCCCTCCTTCCACCACCTGTGAGTTTAGATATAAGCTGAGCTACTACACAAAAACCCAAATTTACAATGACTTAAACAAATCAAAATTTATTTCTCTCTCATGAAACAGCTTGGGGTAAGCAGTCCAGGGCTGATAAGGTAGTTCTGCCCCGACGAAGTTGTCTAGAAACCTTAGTATCGCAGAACCACCATCCCTTGGGTGTTACCCTCACCTGTATGTCAAGATGGTACGTTATTGATTCAGAATTCTAGCTGGAGAAAATGGAGAAAGAAGGATACATATAATCTGAAAGTTATACAGTTCTCTTCTGCCACAGCTGGCTGCAGTTGTAGTCCTTATTCAAAGAGGATTTGTGTCCAACTAAAAATCAGGGGTTCCATTTCTAGAAAAGACACCGATGTTGATGAACAACCAACAGTCTGCCGCATTACTCATGGGAAGATGCGCTAAGACTAGAAGGCAGTATTCCTCCCTCCAGGTTACATTCAAGTGTGCTTCCTGATGAAACCATCATTCGTGTCTTCATGTTTACTCACCAAGCAGCCTGAGAAGGCTTACGACAAATACACTCTAATTGAAATACACAAATAGAAAATTAGGTCTTAAAAGAAGAATATAAAAAGTTTCAAATTTGGCTCTTAAATTTCTTAACAAAAAGAAAAAGTAGGGTCAGTCAGTATATACATCAGATTCAAAAGGAAACACTGCAGAAAGCAAACAATTTCTGAAATTAATTTCTCATAAAATATTGAAGGCACAAAGTAATGGAAAAAGTTGGCATTCCCTAACAATTCTTTTAAATGTTTCTATAATCATAAAAGTTACACACGCACACACCATAAAAATTTGAAAAAATGAAAAAAAATGTATAAATGAAATTAAATCATCCATAATCATTATTTTTGAGAACTTTCTTCCAGATAGGTATAGATACATATATAGGGGTAAATGTAGATATAGATGTAAATATAGATAGATAGAGATGATATAGATAGAGACAGAGATAGACATAGAGATAGAAATAGAGATAGACATAGACATAGACATAGAGATAAAGATAGATATGGATAGAGATAGAGACAGAGACAGAGACAAAGGCATAGATATAGACATAGATATAGACATAGATATAGATATAGATATAAAACAATATTTTTTACTGCCAGATATTTAGGTTATTTTCAATGTTTTGGTATTTTAAAAATTCTATGATTAATGTTCTTGTTCATAAATCAGTGGCTAAGTTGATTCCTATTTCCTTGATAAATTCTTAGCACTAGATTTACTGGGTGAAATATTGGGAACATTTTTAAAGCTATTGGTACATATTTCCAAACTGCTTTAGACGAAATGAAAAAGGAAGGACTAGATTTTTTAAATATACAAAAATAAATCCAATTTAAATGACTGCTAAGAGCATCGTGCCCCATTCCCTTCCTGAGTATAACGTGAGTATTCATCTCATACCTACTTTGCAGCGTTAACAAAGTTTTCAGCAACCAACACTTTCACAGGTAAAAGTAAAAGGTGTTTAGTACAGTTGTCCCTCAGTATCCACAGGGCATTCACTCCAGGACACCACCGCCATCCCCCCAGGAGACCAAAACTCATGGATGCTCAAGTCCCTTACATAAAATGGCACAGTATTTGCATATAACCAACACACATCGTCCTGCATACTTTTGTGAAGAGATGACAACATCTTATACTCTGGACTCCATCTTCTTGGACAAACAAATCGCACTGACCTTGCTGACTTGCTAAAAAAAAAAAAAAAAAAGAAAAAGTTATTTGCTGAGAAAGAAACTTTCAAGGACTGTACAAAGTAGCTGTGCTTTTTAAGGCCTATGCCAAAAATGTTTCTTTCTCAGTAACAGAAAGAGGTGTTTCTGAGAAACCAATGACTCATAAAAGATAAATTTCCCTCCAATCATAACTTTTGGTGAACAAGTAATGTAACTTGAATGCTGATCCCTAGACAGGACACTATTCTGGTTGCGGCCAGAATCTGTGCTCCTGAATTGCAATTCAAGACCCTGAACATATGCTTTTCTTACCTTGAAGCCTTGCCTTTTTCTCTCATTTAACACTTTAAATAATCTCTAGATTATTTACAATACCTAATAAAATGTAAATGCTATAAATAGTTGTTACACTGTATTGTTTAGGGAATAATGACAAGAAAAAAGTCTGTACATGTTCAGTACGGATGCACCATAATAGGCCTAACTACATAGTTCACAACCCCAACAACATAACATGTTTTCCTAATATTTTCTATCTGCTGTTGGTTGAATCCATCCATGCGAGACCCACAGTGATGGATGGCAGACTGTAGTTATAATTAATTTTTTTGTTTACTTGTGAGAAGGAACATGAGGTCCCTGTCCCCTTGGGAGTAGTGGTATTCTTTTTTTGGTTACTATTATATCCTTACTTCCTATAACAGCATCTGGCATGTAGTAGATATTTAAGGAAAGTAAGGAAATTAATGAATGAATTTCATTTTCATGTGTTTAGAGGCTATTTATAATTTCCATTCTGTGAACTGTTTTTTCATGTCATTGCCCACTGAGATGTTAGCAAAACTTTTCTAACAATAAATACAGCAAATCGGTTTCATAGGCAGCTTCTTGTTGCAAATTTCAAAAAAAAGGCATATCTTTGAAAAACAGCTAAATATAAAATTAAGAAAGTGAAAAGTAAATTTGACGTGGTATGAACATATAGCTTTAGATGGTGAGTTTGACCCAAGGTGGATTCCTGTTGAAATAGTATTGATTTCAATGAGAAGTCCACTTAAGGTACCACAAGATGGGGAATGGCTGGGAAGACAGCATAACTTCTGAAAAATTTATTCTACGGGCAGACAGGTGCTCCCCAAATATATTGATTCATTTATTCAAAAAAA